ATTTTCCCCACAACAACAGCCCTGTGAGGTGAGTTGGGCTGAGAGAGAGTGACTGGCCCAAGGTTACCCAGCTGGCATTCATGCCTAGGGCGGGGCTAGAACTCACCGTCTCTTGGTTTTTAGCCTGCTGCCTTAACCATTAGACCAAACTGGCTCTGAATATAAGAGAAGAGTTTTAGTACTAATTTTGCAATATCATGGTTCTGTTTAGCACATTGTAAGAAAGTATTACCATAGCCATTATTCTTTTACTTGAATAAAAAAATTATAGCACAGTAAGCAAGTAATTGTTAGTGTTTTTGTATGTGGAGAATTTTTAAAATTAGGGTTAAGAAACTTTCTGAGCTGTTGCCCAAATTGTATGGTACGATCCTAAATTTGATAAGCTATATCCAGGTAGAATCCTTGGTACTCTCTGCTTGGTTGCTTGCTTGCAGATGTTTCATTATCCAACTAGGTAATACCATCAGCGCTAGTGAGTGTGGGGTTTGCTCTCTGTTTATATATAGTAGCTTGCCCTGCCAGTATTGGTGGGGGTGTGGTTTTCCCCTTGGTAGGTCCTTGATTAGGGTATTGTTTTCTGCTTGATTCAGGTAGGTTTCTTTCCAAATAGATGTCATCGTTCTTGAAGTTGTGTTCTGTTAAACATTCTTCCCCATTTCTCTCAAAACCCCAGGTCAAGCTGTGATTTGAGAGGATATCCCAATAGGTTAAACTGAATGTTCTTCTCCAAAAATGGAAGTAAGGTAGATGGCAGAAAAATAGATCCAGTCTTTGAATTTCTAGCGTTTGTTATCAGCTTATACTTCTCTACCAATTCTTCAATATTAAGGAAAAGGAAATGAAAGAGGATCTGGCCGGAAGAGGATTGTCTCTCTAGAGATGACCCAGAAAGGGGCATGATTTCACACTATCTCCAGCACAAATAATTCACATTTGCTTACAACTGAATATTTGCAGTAATTCCATATGTCTTTGTTTGCAAAAGAAAAAGAAAATATTAGATAAAACTGATGGGGAAGTATACAAAAATATCTCTCTCCTGCCTTGCTCAGTTCTTGTCAGCAGTACCAGAAGTCTCAAGGGCTCCAAAGTATCAGTCTTTGCACTAGCAGGTAAACTAGTTCTTTAAACCAGACATAATCATTGTTTGTAGATTTTTGGAAAAAATAATATTTCTGAATATATATTTTTTTGATAATACAGTTTTAAAAAGTGTGTGTAAGTCAGCGAAGTGACATAATTTGTTCAGTTATTTTTCACCTTTCTTAAGAACTAGCAAGAATTACATTTGTGATTTAATTAGCACAATTTGAAATCCATACAATGCAGCATTCTGTAGAGAAATTTAGAAATGAGCATGGTATGAAAGATCTGTTAAGGAGGGATTGGAGAAACAATTACACAGTCCAGAGATTGAAGGAAGTGTGAGAAAGAACTGCAGAATAATCCCACCTTGATTTTGTTAGTGTAATATGGGACAGGGAGAAGCTTGGACAGCTTTCAAGATTCTGTTATTATATCTTATTATAACAAAGCAGCATTCCTGGAATCTCTGTGGTATCTGTCTCTTCACATGGCCTACCTTAAAGGGCTGATACATTTAATAATCGAACAGTAGTAATAAAATGATAGAAATGGAAGTGAAAAGCAATGGAAAACAGCAGTAAAATCGTATTCTGATACCTGTCTCTTACAAGACTGTATTTTCTGCCCCAGGGGAATTATGGCTTAATTGCTTAGATATCAAAACTGAATTCTTTCTTATTTTTATCAAAACTTCACTAAGCAAAAGGTTTTTATTTGCCCTGGGCAAGGCAGCTTAGTTTCATCTTGGAGGTTTTTTGTTTAAGGCAAAGAGATGGTGCAGTTTTCCTCAATGAGGTACCCTGAGTTGCTTCAGAGTGTCAACTGGCTATTGGAATTGCTGGAGAAGGCAAAGCAGCTGTTCACTCCCTCTTTGAAGAAAGTGGGGGGGGGAGGCTCTCTGCAAAGCAGCTTCACGGAGGTGCTTTATTTTAGTAGTAATTGAAGCAAGTCCTTAGGAAGGGCTGCAAAACCCTAGTTTCCATGTCTACTTACATTTAAGGTGGTTTAGTTGTTTTCAGCAAAATTTGTTAGCGAAAACAGTGGCTCTTTTTTAAATTCAAGAATAGTGATAGTAATAATTAAGGTTTTTTCTTGTGTGTTATTTTATAGGTATGAATGATTTCGAATATTCTAATTCTGTCTTGATGCTGCTTCAGTTGTGCTTGTTATGAATTCACTTTTTGTTTTCTGATATATATTAAGTTAGGGAGACAATATATCTGTTCCATAACCTTTAAAAAAACCTCTAGAAATATGATTACATATGCTGCTTCAGCCAACAATTTTTGAGTAGGTATACAAAAGTAATTGTTTCCTAGCATACATTATTTTATACCATCATAATGTAGAAGACAATTAATGAACTAGATATTCAACTAATAGGTAGCGATAGTTACAGCAGCAGTTACAATTTTTTTTTTTTATCATAATGGGTGTGAAAGCAGCTGTGCGAATGAAAGTACTATCCCCCAAATTTTACAACCTTGCGAAAACATAATGTTGGTCATATGTGACACAAGGCTGTAAACAGGAAACATGAACCAATTCTATTTCTGCTTATAATATTTACAGTCCTAATTTTCCAGGCTTGAGAGGACTCTGACATATATATTAACATTAAATGTATATTATAAAAAAGATAAAATGCTTGCTGTCAAATAGATACAGTAACTCTATCAAGTAATTTTGAGTGACTGATTTTGACTGCTTTATAGGGAAAGTTCAGTACTGTAATGTCTATTATCTGGATTAGGAGTAATTTTGAAGTGGGCAAACTAAAAATCATAACTGAGAAAATCACAGTAGTTTGAGGGTGATTTTACAGTGAACTTTTATTATTTTAAAACCCCTTTCTTATTAAAATATTGAAAGCTGGTAACTGTGAAAATGTCTCATAATAATATTTTTTTTTCCTCTTTGAAGAGAAGCTGTTTTAGCTAGCTGTATTATAGGGGGGAATATTTTTTAAAAACCAGAAGAGATACCTATTAGGAACACAGAAGGCTCGAGGATCACATTGATTTGATTTCCCAGCTTAGGAGAAATTGAGAGTAGGTTAATATGACTGTCTAAAGCTCTAGCTTAGTAGCCCTGTGGGCGAATCCAGACAGAGGAGGGCAAGCTGCTCCCTAAAGGAGTGCACTAGTTAAAAACATAAAATGTAAACGTAATTCTTAAGCTCTGCATGTACTTTGCAAATGTAATTGAAAGAAACTGTGGATGACAATTATGTGGGGGTCTTCTGTTCTTCAGAAAGCCAATTCCTTTTCTTTTCTCTTAATCCATTCTCAAAAAATATGATAATAGTTTTGATTGGCATTCAGCTATGTATTCTAATGTGGATTTTTGAAGGCACCCAATGTAATGTATTCTAGAAAATCTGTGTGGTTTCATGTAACTTGTTTTTTATTAGCATTCAGTTGTGTGCCGGACATCACTGGTACATTCACTTCATATATCATCTATGATTTGAAAACCACATGAAAACATTTTCCCATTTTCAATATTGTGTGAGTAATGTTCCCACTGAAAAGTAATGGAGTGAAGTTCTTACTTGTCAGTATAGTTATTAAGGAGGATGACTTTTAGATCTTACTCATAATAAAATAAATCTGTCACTTCTAGATTTACTTAGCTGACAATAATAGAGGAGGATACGAAATTCTCTTTACATAGGATTATATGTATTTGTCCCACAGCATTGAGAAAGGAAGCAGGGCAATTTTTGCCACATAATTTGAAAAGGGGGTGCTCTTCTTTTTTTAATCTACCCAGATAAAGTAGCTGTTCATTCTTAAAGAAAAGCTTTTATTGTATTTTATTATATCCATGACATTTGTTATTGAAGAAAGTATGCTTAAAGGAGTATTTCCAGTTTTTATACTTTGCCAAAGCAGCTTGGTTTTCTCAGTGTTGTTAGTTTGACTTTGATGCTGTCATCTGAAAGTAGTAAAAGAGGAAATTAAATTAAATTAAATTCTGATCAAGATAATCCATAAAATTACACTGCTGAGTTGTTAATAGCCTTTTAAAATCTCATCAAATGATAATAAAGCATGTACACTTATATAAGAAATTTCCAGTGTGAAAAGACATACAGTTTGTTAGCATTTTTAAAATCTCTATTGTGTTATAGTCCTGGTTAAAGTATTTAAAAGTCAATATATTAATATGCAGAACATTTTAAAATATAAAATATTTTATAAATATAAAATTTGCAATTTAATATGTGAATGTGGAAAATTGAATTAATGTATTAACAATGTTAACTTTGCTTTTACCCTACAGTCTCGGAAAGGGAGTGACCCAGACAAAGAGAAGAAAGGATTGGAGAGCAGAGCAGATAGTATTGGAAGCGGTCGTGCAATCCCAATTAAACAGGTACAGCCTGTGTGTGTATGTGTGCATGTGTGTGTGTGTGCTTTCCTGTACTTGGAGACACACCTTAGGTCTTAAACACCATAATGCTTGGCTTCTCTGCCAAGATTTGTTTGATGTGCTGTGGTGATGAATGTTGAAGTCACTCACTTGACATCAATTAGGAGAGGTTCCTATGTGAATTAAAATAGGATCATTAGAATAAGAAGAGGGAAAATGTGACAACAGGCCTAATGAAGTGCAGTCTGCTGGCCTGCATATGGAGCGTGCTTCTAGGCTGAGCTGGCTTCAAAGCCTGCCTTTGTAGAAAGTGCTTTGATTGGGCCGTTTGCTGCCAGTCTACAAGGGTAAATCAGATCACTGTACAAGAGCCCCTTGTGATCACAGAAATAGCCCGATGTGGCCCTCATTTGCTCTTGCAGAAGGACATCTGAACATTGTTCCAGACTGATTTGCAGCAATGAGGCAATTAGATGTGATAATCATGGCTGGTGAGTCAGCTGTGCACTTTTGTTTGTAATTTGCTAATGAAGGAATTGTAACTTCGTTTAGATGTTTTTATATAAACAAACTTTTACAGCCATAATATGTGGCCTTAATTAAACACCCTTATTATAATATACGATTTCAAACTGAGGATTTCCTTTTGTCTGTTTGACTACTAGTATAACTGTAATTGCATTAGTGCCACATCCCTAAGATATTTAATGTGAAGAGCATTGCCTGTCAAAAAAAGAAAAACAAAACACTTGGATCTTATGGAACAATGTTTAATTGTTCCAACCCTTAAAAACAGTTTTCTGTTTTTACATATGATAAATGGATCAGTAATAGTGAAATACTGAAGTCATGTCCCTTTGATTTCTGTTTCCTACTTTTAAAAATCTCTGGTGGTAAAGAAATTAAGCCAATGATTCCTACGTAATTCCCATATGAGAGAAGTGCAGAACTTTGGTTGTAGTGATGGTGCTAAACACTATCAGAAGTTTTATTAAATAAATCTTATTTTTTCCTTGCATAACTAAAGCCTGGAATGAAAATCTCAATAAAAATTTGTTTATTACAACTTAAACCGTCAGTTTCTAAAGAACAATGTGTATTGGGAGTCCTTAATGCAGTTCTTTTGAGTGAAAATTGCAGTGTTCTTACTGAAATCAAGTTAGGAGGTTTTAAAAGGGAAGTACACACATTCATGGAGCACATAGTTGTCATGGCCATTAGTCTTGATTAATATATACTGCCTCCTGAATCACAGGCAGTGTACCTTAAATGCTAGTTGTTAGGGAGCAACAGTGGAAGGGAGATATAGTCTTACTTCCATGTTTTTTTCCAGAGTATACCTAGCTGGCTACTATGTAATACTGAACGTTGGATTACAGAATCTCCTGGGTTGATCCAGCATGGCTCTTCCTATGTTCTTAGGCTGTGTGGTACAGAGTATTAGGAACTCAGTGTGATTATAGGAATGCCTAAGCATCATGATGCTCATCCCCAACATTAGTTTTCTTGTCAAAAACTACCAAAAATTTAAAGTTGAAGCATCTGCATGGAGACAAAGTTAGGCAGTTCTCCATGGTCTAATTCTATTCTATCAGGGGAATGGTTGACAAGTAAATTTAGGTATTGATCTTTACATTACAATCATTTCCCTATATCTGTAAAAAGATTATTACCCATTCTGAGAACAACAATAATAGTAATAAATCTATCACCTTTTAAAATGAGGTTTTTTTTCCAACCAGCATATTACTGTCCTCTTTAATCAATTCAGTTTACTCCACACCCTTTGGTCTTTACAAGTAATATTTAATTTAATATAATATTGATCTCCACCTCAACTCAGGTGCCAGCTGGCAATTACAGAGACTGAGTTGTGTTCCCGATTGTAAGGGATGCAAATGTTTTCATCATTAAAATATCCTTTTTTTTCTTCTTGATCGTATGCTATATGGTATGTCTTTAGTTTTGATTTAAGTCAAGGCACTTCTTCCTTGAGAGAGAAAAATGTTTCTGATTAGATGATGCCTACCACTTGAGGATTTTTGTTAAGTATAGATACTAAGTTTGCTATATGTTATCATCAAAATACATTAAGAAAGGGATTCAGATATATTGGTGTTTTTTCTTCATCTCCAGATCAGAGGAAGAAGATAAGCAGCATTAATCTGAATAGGGCAGAAACTTAAGGTCAAATTTATTATGAAAATTTAAGAAAGTAGAATTGTTAGTTCTTGATCTGCATACCTATAAACATATGCAGTTATTATTGTTTTATGGAAGAATAGAGACCTAGAAAAGAAGACCTCTAAAAATTTCCTACTGCAGAACACATAAGAGCACATAACACATACTTAGTTTAGAATTGTGAATCTTAGGTTTCCTGTTTCCAGCCCTGTCTGGTTGCAGATATGCAAAAAATAATTTAATATTGTCAGCTATAAAACTACTTGTATTTTTATGGGTAACTTACAACCAGTACATGAAACTTCACAACCAAAACTACTTTTATTGTAAAATTTATATGGTTCTATACTTCTTTATAAAGTTAGTATAAAATTATAAACTGTAAAATTATTATCTTGATAGTAGATTAGCAGTATTTTTTTCTTCAGTATTAGACTGTTTCAAAAACCAAGGCACCAGCTTGTGTTTAGGGGTTAGGGCTCCTATATTGCAGAATATACTCATTAATGACAGTGTGACAAGTTTAGAGTAAGTACTAGACAAGAGTATACACCAGTATCCCATCCAAATATCTGCTCAAAGCATCAGTTAGTTTTTCAAAATTATTAAGTACGATAAAGTTGCAGCAGGATTTACTGCAATAGAGTGACGTATTTTTCTTTTTAACAAGAAAAAGAACATGCAACTTTCTAAAGTTTGTTTAAACATACCAGTCATACTTCACAAGCAGGCTATGGCTAGTGCTCAAACCAGGTTGTCAGATTTGGACAAAACAATGAAGTTAGGCAAAGGAGAAAAGGGAAGATAGATTTTGTGTGTGAAAGAAGTGGCACATAGAAAAGTTTGGGAATCACTGATAGGGATGTCTCAGTAAAGAGGTTACTTAATTAAAGGACTAGCAATAGAGCCAAACATTATTTTACTAATTTTAGGTTCTTGAGATACTTAATCATAACTTTTACGATATATTTTGCAAATGCATTGTAATTGAGGTAATGAATAAAAAGCACAAACACTGGCTTGATTCACATATTGCAGTAAGCTATGGTTTGTTCATATTTAGCTTAGCACAATGTATGAACTACACTGTATGAACTATATTTTCATGGCAATAACTCAGAATATTAATTCAGGAATATGCCTGTTAATGCTTGAATTGCCTTCTAATTTGTGTCAAACTTTTTAAAAAGGAATTGGAATGTTTAACTTATTCTAAGTATATCTTCAATATATATGCAGTCTTGGAGTTGGGTGGCCTTAATAAATCCAATAAATAAATAATATTTAAAAACATATATCAAATACAGAGTTTTTTTCAAGCAAGATTCCTTTTAAACATAGGCTTGTCGTGGTAGCTTATCTATATAAAGCGGAAAATCATATAGGAAATATCTGATTTGTAAGGTTCATGAATTAAGTTCACTTAGAACATTTAACTGAATTAACTACTTTCTGTGTTTTTGAACCAGCCAAATGGGCTGAGTTCCACACAACATGCTAAAATACAAAGAAAATAGCCAATCTTAATCCCAACTAAGTTTGGCATCTTGAGTGAATGTAGTTTCTGTGTCTCTAATTGTGTCTCTAAATTATGGTGTTACACAAACTCAGCCATGTAATGGCACAGTAAGTCATTTAGTATGTTGCTATTGCTCATTTCCTGTTGGATCTAAAATTCACAAAGAATCTTATTAGGATGTTCCAGGACAATCATATGGGTGATTCAGAATTATTTTTTAATATTCTGCTCTGTTCACTAAATTATAGTCTTGGCCTTCAAATCAATGATCTTCCTTCATATCTTGATCAACCTAGAGAATCAAATCTGTCCATAAGCAGACATGATAGGCTGCACGAGTAAAGACAGTGAATTATATTTCTCAGTTTTATAAAAGTCCTGTTTAGGAGCTATCCAATTGTTTTTATTACTATAGTAACCAGTTCATTGAATAAATATATGAATTTCAAAAAAGGAAACTTGATTTAAATCAAACTTTTAAATTGGTTCTCTGCTCTGTTGTATCTCATGTTTTGTGAATGTATACAGTTTATGACTCATTCTATATAATCTTACATAAGCAGTTATTTTATGACAGACTCTAAAAAAGACAAGATTTATAGGAAAGAATCATATTTGTATGGTTTGTTTCTGCTTTATGCTTTCTGCCAAATCTCTGCCAGTAGGATGTATTAAAATAAAAAGTTCATGACAAGAAATATAAAAGCAAGAGGCACAGCTCAGCAGTGAGTGGGCTTGTCGTGTATTAATTTTTCATTGCTGTGGAGAATTGTACGTACATAATCGCTTGATTGCAGTGGGAGTTAGCAATCTCCTATGGTGTCATTTGCATAAATCTTGTTAAGTCAATGGCAGTTAATGAAGTACAAATGAGCCTGGAGAAGGTGACATGCAAATCGTGGGTGGCAGATGGGAGGTCTGTTTTTGGGATGGCAGCTGTGTGCTATTTCCCTTTTTTTTTTCCTTTCTAAATTGGAGCATAAATAAATAGTTAGAACTGGCCTTTAGTGCTTGGCTTTATAGATTAATGTATATTTACACTATGTCTTCAGCTTCCATGACACTGAAAATTATACAATACAGTAATATGATAGAATTCATAGAGTGCCTACTAGTTTGCAACAAATTCTGAATTGTTGTTAGACAACAAATCTAATGAGTGCATCAGCTTTGTACTATTTGTTTGTAAGCTTGCATTCAAAATATAATAAGAATATCTTTCTAAATTTATCAGCAGAAATATTCAAGATGTTGAGAACACCCAAAAGCCCAAGGACTAGAGATGTAAATAGCATAAACA